TGGGGGCTGTACACTGCGATAGCACCATCGGAGAGAGCCGGGCATAGGGGGGGAACAGGACAGTGGGGACCCCCCACACCCTAGACAGCACCCCAGACTGGGAATGGGGGGCAAGGGGGGCGGAAGACGTGCGAGTGCGGCCAGTGGAGAGGGGGGGCTCAACCCTGGCTGCCGCAGGAGGAGAGGCTGTCATACAGCGAGTCACTGAGCGACTCGGAGTGCTCCAGCCCTGGGGGGCCGTGCCCCCCATCCCGTGACTGGGCCTCCGTGCTGCCCTCGTCCCCCACGTCCGAGGCACTGGGCGTCCGGCTGCTGCTGGCACTCAGGGCTGGGGGCAGCGGCGGGGGGGCCTCCGGGGACGCCCCTCGACACCCTGCTGGGCTGCAGACGGGGGCCTGGGGAGGGACAGCACGGTGAGGGGGTGCTCCCTGTGGCTCCCCCCCCCCACTCCCTGCCAGTGCTAATTACACCCCAGGGCTGGTGAGGTGGTCCCACAGCCCACCTCCTCTGTGGCCCCCCCCGCCCCTTACCAGTGCGGGACGGTGCAGCCCCTCCAGCCCCCCAGGGGGGCAGAGGAAGGGGTCGGCAGTGCCACAGGCTTTGGCGTTGGGGAAGGTCCAGTTCTTGCTCTGCTGGACATGCCGTGGCTTCCCGGCATCGTCACCAGCATCTGCAGGGAAAATGGCGGGGGGGGGTCAGTGCAGACCTGCAGGGTCCCCCCCAGCAACCCCCCACCTCCCTGCCGGGGTGCCAAGCCCCTGTTGCGCCCTTGCGTGAGCGTGGGTGCACACCCAGCACCATCGGTGGGGGTCTTGCACACCCCCAGCACATAGCACGGTGGGACACTGACCTTGGGGACTGGCGCGGTGGCCTTGCGGGCCAGGGGGTGCTGGGGGGCGGCACACCGGGGCGCTCCGGTGTTTGCCGGCCACCAGCAGCTCCTCCGCGCTGGTCACTTCCCGCTCCAGCGTCCGGGCCTTGCGCGGCACTTTGGTGATGGCGGGCGGCCGCGCCGGCACAGCGCCGGGCAGCGGCTCGGGGCGGCCTCGTGGTTTGGGGGTGCTCTTGGCAGGGACCCCCCCGTAGTCAGGGGGCGGGAAGGTCCCAATCCCGCTGTCCAGTGTCCGCGTCAGTGACCCGCAGGCTGCTGGCGCAAGGGGAGGCATCAGTGCTGGTGCGGGGGGGGGCGGTCCACCCCAGTGCCCCCCTCCCT